CAGAGAGTCATCTTTGGCAGGAAGGCTTTTGCAAAGTTACCCTCCACGGCCTTGACTACTACTCGACTTCTAAAAGTCAAGGGCATTAAGAGCGTCCAAAACAAGCACATCCTTTGATCTGAGCTTGTTCAGAGGGCCTGTTTCTAAGAAATCACACCAAGTGCAAGGAGCAGCAGGTGTCACCTCCATAAGAACTCTGGCCTACCCTGGCCTTCTCAAGGAAAGCTCAGACCCGCTGCCAAAGCAGAAGCCAAGAAAGAGCGTTCTTAGTTTGGATTCACAGAATCCAACTCTGTTCTCCGAGAGGCCTCTCCTTATTCAAACAGCAAAGGGCACAAGATTCATCTTTTCTGTCCCACACATGATGAGGAGATGAGAGATTGGCAAAAAGACTGCCTGCTAGAACAACATCAACTTGAAAAAGACACCAATAATGCCATAATGGCGCTACTGTGGTGTTACTGCTGAAACTCTTAAAGAGAAAGGGAGACGGGTCTGATGAGGGGAAGGGTCTTAAGGGACTTTCCCCACAAATATGGTGAGATGTAAAAAAGGGATTTTAGAAGGAAAATGCACGAGGAAAAAGGAGTCTTTTATTCCCAGTCCAGAAAAGCATGGACTTACCTTTCCAGTTTCTTGGCGGGGCTTTTTCTGGTTTTAGCTTCCACCAGATAGAGCTCTTTGTACTTTTCCACTTCTGCCTGGGTGGATTCTTTTTGATGAGATCTGTCTTGTTGGCTGTTTTTTATTCTGTCCAATTGACTTTTGGGATCTCTTCTTCTTTCTTCTGTTTTCTTGCTGAATCACAATGATGGCTGCGAGGACTTGAGCTCTTTCATGCTCAAGAATCAAGATCAGTCAATCTGCTGGTCAGAAAAAATGGATGTGGTTCTTATTGTGAGTGCCTAAGAAACCAAGACACCAGCTCTGCATCAGTAAACCGACAGGGAAGTGCAATGTGCTTGACATCCATTTAATAGAGTTGATGAGTTTACATTCCCACTGCAAGGAACATGTTTTCACATCTGAAGCGGGGGATGGGAAACCATAGACTCACTGTGAACACTGAATGATTTCCAGAGCCTCTCTGTAGCATTTAGTTCAAATCCGGTAATTTTGGATTAAAGAATCCCGGTGCTCCTCCATTACTCTGGAAACGGGGATCCTGGTCTGTCGGGAGTGAGGACATTGCTGCATATGAAAGCTGGAAAAAACAAGAAAAAATGTGTGACCCTCCAGAGGATGAAACTCCTGTATGAAATTGTCAAGAAGTTCAGACCCAATGCGTTTCGAGTTTTACAGTTGTGTCTAAACATTTATTGTAATTTTTCCCTTGTTTGTACCCTGAAATTGTTGTATGAAAAATGCCCTTGATTGCTGTATCCTTAGGCCCCACTGCCTGATTGGCCAAAGTTTGCTGCATTGCAGTATTTCCTTTTATGGCCACCCTTTCCCTAAAATGGATAAACCCTACCCCCTTTTTCCCTTATAGAGTTACACTTTGCATGCTCCTCCCTAGTCCCTCCCTTTCTTGTAACAAATTCTACCCCTACCTTATAGAAGCCTTAACCCACCTCCCTAAATGAGCCATTTTTTACACCCTCATCCCGAGAGTGGCAAACCTGTTATTCCCACAAGGACCCGTCCCTGGTCCACATGAAGAGTTTTTGAAGATCCAGCAGATCCACTTGTAGGTTTAGCAGTGGCTGGGGGAAAACTGACAAGATTCCTGGTGTTACTTTTACAGCAGACAGGGCAAAATAAGGCACGGCAAGAACATGACAGGCAACATGAGAGACTGCAGTCTAGACAGAGACTTTAAAATTTCCAAGGGAACATAACAACGGAAGGGCTAGGTGCAAAGGAAGAAACCCAGTTTTGCCACAATTGCTTATCTGTCAACAGCATTTCTAAAGCAAGTGGAAGACATTCCGGAGGCTACACACTGAACACCTTCAGGCAATCCACAAATGACTCCCGTGCTAAACAGCCCCCCTGTAGACCTCTTCAACCCAAAGTCTCTGCTTTCCTTTTATGTCCAAACCAGTGATTTATTGGCACACTACTACTACACAGCACCAGGCACTGCAAAGCAGTAACTCTGCTCTCTGGAGGAACAAATTACCATGGACCAGGTGCATTTCCTCTTTGGACACCTGGCCTCAAATTCTACAGCAGGTTTTATGCTACGTATGGCAAGCACTGAACTGATATTTGCCAAAAAAGTACTGAATAGTCTTTTCCTAAAGAGAGATTATTTTTTGTCACTGATCTCCTTGCTTGTTCCAAAAAAGACTGCACCACCTAAGCTACCAAGACAAGCCATGAATCACAGAATCCTAGCAAAAATCAGGAACCAACAGCAAAGAATGGTATGGTACAGTTTAGTCCTGAGTGCCATCAGTGTACATGAGAGGGGAAGTGATGGCTGAAGCTTATACTTATCTTGTGGCTGCTTTGCTGTTTGTGCTTGAGATGAACTCTAGTGAAGGGCAACTTCAGCTTAAGCCAAGGGTTTCTTTGTGCTTTTTTTCAGGCAACTGCATAACATTGTACGCCACATTTTTGGTAAGCAGGAAGTTTTCACTTTCAAGTCTCAACTGGAAGGCTAGCAGAAAAGAAAAACCAAAAACCTACTTATCACAGGAACTTGATAAAAATGGCTCGAGAGCTGTCAAGTGTTAGAAAGAGTCACCTTTTCCCTTAAAAACCCTCCTGACATACTGACACATTACCTCGTTGAAGTTCTCTAGCGATTTTTGCATCCCTTTCCTGTCGTGCCTAGAATTATACAGAAAATACACAGTTAAGACATAGTATTTTCCGAGTTAAGAGGTAAGATTTCAGTTGATTAAGCCATTGTTTTACTCACACCCCTTTGAGGAAGAAAACTTTAGAACTTGATACAGTAGTAGAGTTCAAAGCAAATCCTGAGAAGACAAACTGTGTCTAGTGAGAGTGAACTGTCCTCAGCTCCTCTGTTGACAACAAACTGAATGTCTCCAGAGGTTGCAGTCAAGGTCAGAGAGAACTTCAGGGGACTAAGTCCTACCAACAAGAATGCAATAGGAAGGGGAAATGTTGGGGTCGAAGCAAGCCCCCAAACTAAGAAACAAAACCCCTGCAGACATCAGTCATTGAAGAGGGGGGAAATGTCACACGTAGTTGTGCATCAACTTCCTTGACAGTCCGCTCAAGGCTGTGAGACACGCATGGCCTGAAAAGAAACTGGATGGGTGCTGTTGCAGTCAGGACACTGAGTAAGAACAGTATCACCGTTCTCAGATCTAGTGCATTCTTTTCTTGGAATCAACTCAACTGTTTTCCACAAGTAGATCTGGGAAGCAGTTGTTACAAAGCGTTGAAGCAGCCTATATAGTGATTTGAACTCCACATCTGCATAAATTAACAACTGGATAAAACAATGAGCCAGGAAATAACCTGTAGAAATATTTAATTTCTGTAACATCCTTCAGGGAAGCCAGGAAAGCAGTGAAGGTTTCTGTCTTGATCCTGGCAAAACTTTGAGATGCCCAGAGTTTTCTTCTGGAAAATCACAATGGAAAGGACGAGCTGAAGACTGTTGCTGTAATTCAGTTTTAGGAAGCACTGGGTACTCCCACTGTCCTTCCTTTCACTATCTGTTTTCCCTGTTCTTTTTCAAAAAAGACACACCTGTCAATTCTTTTCTTTTCAACTAGGGCAGTTTTTTTCCTCCAACAGGAATGGTTTCCTCCTCTGCCTTTTCCTTCTTTTAACATCTTGCTGCCATCTCTCTGTCCTTTCTTTCCCTCACTTGTTCCGTGCTCCCTGCCCCTCCTGCTCTTCTCCTTTTCTCCCTTTTGCATTGGGTCCCTGAAGTTTGCTTCCTTTCTAGTGCTTGCCTGCAGAATAGTCCCTGCACATGGTACAGCACTAATTACCTCACCAGTTCTTTCCCTAATGCCTGTCCATGCCTCTGCCCTCAAAAACGTGTTCACAGCGGTACAGGAAAGTTCCTGTCTGCAAATGCCACTGCTAGGCATTACCTACGCTGCTTGGCCCCTTTTCATCTCCTTGGTGTTTTTGTCTTCAACCAGGTGCTGTATGGAGACACCTTGTTGAAATGGGTTCTTTCCAATGGAGGTGAGGGGACCAGTGAACTGAGATGGACTTGAAAGTGAACAAGTGCTTCTCACATTCATCCAACGACTAAACACACTAACTCAACAGAGAAGCTTGGCCATGCCTCAATCCCATGCTACGTGGCTGTCCCGCTGATTACAACTACTGGGGTGTGGTTTCCACGTCTCCTGGTATCATGCTCTGCATTCTGGAAGGGATGTGCTATCACACTGACTGCTTGGACCAGTGCTATTGCAGAGGTTGCAGCATTGCTGCACAGTTAGAAGGCCGTGAAGACTTCCCAAGGAGTAGGTAGTTCTGCTGTTTCATGTAGTAAGACTTAGCAGAAACTACAGGAACAAATGCCTCCTATCCATAGGAACATATTAAAGCAAGGTCCAGGGAAGAAACTGCTAGAACAAAGATCAGTGATGAAGAAAATGGTGTCTCACAGATGTCTGGTGGCATTTGGCACTCATGGTGACATTAGCCACTTGAAATAGGTCACACATACCATACATGTAAATTTAGTGTAGAACTTAGGTGGGGGCTTCGTGCCCCACAGTGCTCTTTACCACAGTTTGTCTGGTAAAAGAATGTAGTTACACAGCTCATTGCCTCGATTTCAATATTTTTTGGCCTTCGACCACTCTGGAAAATTTGTACAAACCTGATGACCTAAAGTCTTCGGCTTTACCACAGATGTCTGGGTG